AGGAGAGGAATAGGAAGGCAAGGAGAGGAATAGGAAGGCAAGGAGAGGAATATGAAGGCAAGGAGAGGAATAGGAAGGCAAGGAGAGGAATAGGAAGGCATAGGAGAGGAGAGGAATAGGAAGGCAAGGAGAGGAATAGGAAGGCATAGGAGAGGAGAGGAATAGGAAGGCAAGGAGAGGACTATAAAAACAAGGTGGGGAAAAAGGAAAACAAGAAAACAAGGGAAATTAAGAATAAATACAGGAAAACAAGAAAACAAGGGAAATTAAGAATAAAAACAGGAGAACAAGAAAAGAAATATAAAAAAGAAGAGGAAAATGTTAAACACGGAGAGATAAGGGTTAAAACAATTCAAAAATATGAAAAATAGAAAAACTAAGAGAGAAATAGAAAAAATCAGTAAAGAAATATGGAAACAAGGAAAGAAATGCATGGAAAGGAAGGAGATAAATATGAAAGCAAGGAGAAAAAATAGAACAAAAAAAGAAATAGAAAAACAGGGAGAAATATAGGAAACAGAGAGAGAAACAGGTAAGTAACGAAATAAGTATGGAAACACGGAAAGAAATGGAGAAACAAGGGGTCAAATAGGAAAATTTTGCAAAAAAGTAAATATTAATACAATAGAAAACAAAGGAAAAGAAGAATAGTCATATTAATTAACATTAAAAAGATAGAATAATAAAAAAGAATAAGGTTTAAAATATTGGAAAGCCATGAAGAATTGAAAGCTAGGGAACTAAGAAGACACAGAGTGAAAGAAAGCTGAATAATATTTAAAACCATTCTACGCAGAACACATAGAACCAGGTAGAAAGGTAGAGAGGTAGGGAAGGTATGAGAGTGTATGGTAGAGAATATAGAAGGACATTTTTCGTTGGGACTTTCTCAAAAACCTTTCAATATCAATTGCAGTTATGGTGTACTCCACACAATTTAGAGATTGATATACGATTAGACATTATCTACTCTATTATTTAATATAAGTATTGTTGTTATTATTTTCAGTATTTTCAGTACCTACTTGACATTCATATATATATGTTGCGTATAGCCGGCCAAACGGCTGGACCGATTGGGCTGAAATTTGTTTGCGGACACTCATGGGTGGCCGGGGGGTGTTTTAGGCTTAAAAAATCGCATTTTTGTTCAACATTTTTTAACATATTTTTCCACGGGCAACGCCGGGCTCTTCATTGTTATCATTATCACGAATTGTTACTATAATTATTTTTGATAAGAAATTATCTATTTCAAAAGTAAAAGAATTTGATAGCAACATGCAATTGAAATGAAACAACGTGGTGGGTCCTTAAAAAGTGGAGAAAATGATTTTGTTTGAAATTGTCAAGAAATTTTTAACAGCCATGTTTTTAAAGTGTCGCAACTCACTTACACAATTGATTGTGGCCCTAGACATTATAATATAAATACTGCTGGTTTTTTTTGTGTGAGAGCGTAAACATCTTGGTTTGCAATAATGGGGGTTTAAAAGAACTATACCAAAAACCCGACACATGGGATAAATGATTGCAAAAGTGACATTAGGATTTTAAGGAGCTGCAGATCAACACCAAGTGAGCAACTTTAAACCGGAACTTAAAACTTTAAACCGGAACTTAAAACTTTAAACCGGAAGTTGGTGATTTATGTTTTCAGTTAAATCATGAAAGTTTTTATAAGAAACTAGCTAAAGTGCCCGTCGTTGCCCAGGTTACCCCTAGTTACTCCTACCGTTTACCCGCACTTAGTTTGAATTATGATTTTAGCTGAAGTGGATGACGTAAAGAATTCCGCTAAGTTTTAGCCATAATTTACGTATGGATCTCTAATTGGATTATGAAATTTGAATATATAGATAAATAGTATAGATCCCATCGCCGTTGCAATCTCTATTGGTTCTAAATAGACACCAAGCTTGTCAGTCAACCCTTAATGGATTAGACTCTCCCCGACAGTTTAAACAAGGCACTGCAAATCAAGATGTGCACGCTCTCAATCAAATATCAAAAAGTATTTTTTTTTCAAATTACTCAATTTAAATTTTAGCTTGAAACCATTATAACTTTGCTTTTTTGAGTGGCAAAATAGTATGCGTTAGTTGGTGAAGTAAACCCAAGACGTTGCGACACTTTAAAGTTGATGCTGTCTAAAAATGAAACAACTAAGGATCAGAGTTGTCTTATAGATTTAAGTGAAGGGTGACACAATACACGTTGATGACGGCAAGATTCAGAAGCCTTTAGTATAATATAGAACAATTTGATGCCGAATTTAATGAATTAAAGCCGCGGCTCAAATATTAGTAGCTGTTAAATATTGTTGGTTCCACTTGAAATTGTATTAAATGTTTAAATGTTTGAGCAGGTGCTCATGCAATTAGAACCAGTTTACGGTGGATCACCGACGCGGTCTAATTTCTTTAAAGTCAGCATCTGAAGGTTCAATTTGGGTTTCTCACGTAGACTTAATCCTTGAATTCGTTGTTTAATGATTTGTGGAAGGAAAAACAAGTTTGATCAAATCCAGACAGCTATAGAATTAACCATATTAATTTTCATGACCGGTCTTTTTATCAAACTCGTACTTTTTTGTAGCCCTGGACATTTCAAAACAGATTGTTACTAGTTTCATTAAATAACTTCTTGTCTGTATCAGAATATTTTCAGTAATACGTTAAGCTCTTATTTAAAATCCGTAAAAATATCGAATAAGACCTTGTCACCTTATTCAATGAAATATTTGAAATACTATAGCCAAACAAAAAGTAACAAATACGAAGAATCTACTTTTGTAAAATCAAAAGTTCTGAAGTTAAGACTTTCTAGATTTTTATATATGTATTAGATAAAGATTTTACTTAATCTAAATATTTTAGAACAAATTCAAGATGGCGACTGTAGCTGGTGCCACGGTTGATACCATGTGGGAGCACCGGGAGGTCCGATTTGATATTCTCCTACCGTAAGTAATTTTTATTTTAAAAGAATTAAATCGTTGCCACAAACTCTGATTTTCTAATCTCTATATTTTTGTTATCTAAAGTCATAGACCTCATACATTTCAAACTATGAATTCTGTCAAATTAACTAAGTTTTAAAATATGGAAGGTTTACACCGTCAGGTTGCAATGCTACAGGGATAAGAAAATTTAAGTTTGTGTTTGTTTTGTTTCCATCGTCAGTAGCTGAACCTATTAAATCCCTATTTTAAGTGAGACTTCTCAATATGTACACTATACAATAGGAATAACAATTTTAAAATGAACTACAGCAATTGTGCAGTGTGCACAGAACCATTTAATCTAATAAGTTGATTTTTAGGCTCTAATAAGACCAGGCATGCTTTATAAGTATACTGAAGTACAATAAAGCACTGCTTCAAAGTCGCTTTCCTATATAACAGTTTTAGTTTTATGAGGAGCACTTTTATTATATTATGTGATATTGGTACTTTACATAGCTCTGTGGGGAGGTGTTTGGCTGACCAAAATGTCCCTTAATCTTCCCAATTCAAAAATCACGAATAAAATCAGCGAAATTTATTTTTATATAAAAAGTACGCAAATTCAAAGACGACATTTACTGCAGACAAATGAAGATGCGCCCAGGAGAGTTATTATTGGATAAACTAGACAGTATAGAAGATACTAAGGTAAATACACTCACAAACCTATATTTGTATGTATGATCATAACTCATGAACCCCTTGACCGATTTGCCTCTATTTTTGATTTTGAGAACTCGGGAGATCCACGGGAATGTTCTCAACTAGGTTTTGAGATTCTAAATTGAGTGGGACGAAAATTTCGATTCCCTGTAAAATCAACCAAGTGCGGGTAAAAGGCGGGAGTAACTACAAGTAACCTGGGCAGGGCAGGGTTCCCAAGTTAGTATTTATATAAAGTAGTAATCTTAGTTTGTCTGTTTGTTCTGATGTCCGATCATAATTCATGATCCCTCGGACCGATTTGCCTCAGATTTTGAATGACATACTTTTCAGAACCAAGGGAATGATTTTGGCCTAGTTAAAAAGTTTGTTGACTTTAATGGGGATTTTTTAGGGTTTCAGACAAAGCTGGGTTCCGAATCTATATTGTTTTATAAAGTCGAGACTCGAGATTATATAGCATAGATTAATTAAAATAACAGGACTCAAGATGTCGTATTTTCAAGATTTGGATGAAACTCGTTCACAATAAACCTGAGGCAGTCAGCGTAGTTCAGCTCTCTCTGTTTTGTATTTCTACACCGCGAAACTCCTCTCGGCTTCTGCCTCAGAGTTATTGTGAACGAGTTTCATCCAAATCTTTAAAAGACGACATATCAGTTATTTTAATTAATCTGTGACATATAGATTTAAAATAAAAGATTTTTAGACAAATATTTTGGTGAATCTCTGAAAACTAAATTTGACCTTTCTTGTTTTAAAAAATAGAGGGAATACTAAGCAAGTTTTAATTTTATATAATAATTTTAACAGTTTGTTTTCTCTGTCAATTGGAAAGGTTAAAAAAAAATGAATAAAAAACGAATAGTTTTAGATTTTCAAAGTGGATTGGTGTATTCACGGAAAAGGTCCGATTAAATTTTCATATTTGTAAACCTATTATATTTGTAAACCTATTATATTTGTAAACCTATTATATTTGTAAACCTATATATAAATCTATATATAAACCTATATATAAACCTATATATAAACCTATATATAAACCTATATATAAACCTATATATAAACCTATATATAAACCTATAAACCTATAAACCTATAAACCTATAGTTCAAATTTATGCGATTCTACGACTTTGTGACCTCGTATATTTAGTTCTACAGATATGAGAAGAGCAAAATATTCCGGTATCATCTTAGAAATTTTAAAGTTTTTCTTTTTATTAATTACTCTATACAACACTAGCTTGGGAACCCAACTTTGCCTGGAAACAAGAGTCAACTTATTCAACACTTTGGCCTTAAACCAAGCTAAGAACATTCCTATGGTTCTACAGAGTTCTCCAATCAAAAAATTTGAGGCAAATCGGTTAAAGGGTTTCTGAGTTATGATCGGACAAAAACAATCAAACAGAGATTACCTCTTTGTATTTATATATCGAAGAGGAGATTGAAAACATAAGATATCAAATATTGTGCTGTAGGGAAATGCAGGAGACAGGGGGAGGATGCTGATCACCAATATCAGAGCAATCTGGCATTCACAAACCATGCCGAGAGTTAGTCTTTGTAAGTTATTATTAAAGTGACCGTTAACTATTTTCAAGCGACCCTCTATTTATAGTTGTGCAATGCGCATGTTCGATTAACAACGGTTCTCAATAATCCTCACATGTACCCAGCCAGCACTGAAGGCTGGGTACACTAGACTGTCTGGTTCGAGTAAATGTGTATAAGTAAAACAGTATATCCTAGTACCGGTTCGTGTCATAAGACCCATGTTTCCTGTGTTTTCTTCAAAGCAAATGGTGAATTACGGATTTATGCAGCATTAACAAGGAAATAAAATGGGAAATTTTTTTTTTTTTTTAAACGCCATATTCATTGAGGGTAACGTTTGGAATTGGAGCTGAAAACTTAAGAATTGGATACCCTTAATCCTAATCCCATAATCTGAATGCTACATGTAATACAGATACGTTTTATAACAAATACAGATTCGATGCTACATCGATTGGACTAATGTCCGATTGAACTAAAGTCAGCTGTTCATAAGCATGCTTTTAGAGCATTTAAAAAATATAAATTTAATAATGTTAATATGAACTTATTAAAAATAAAATATTTTATCACGTTGAGGACTTACAGTCCTTTTAAACATTAGTCTTAATAAACATTAATCCGAAATTTACGTTCGTTCAATCGATCACTAGTTCAATTGATATGACACTACAAATGCAGGAAAATTAAAATTGGTTTATAGAAGTTAAAGAGCGCATCTCTAATCTCTAGAAGTTAATCTACAGACTAAATTTGTCTTCAGATTAGCAAAAGGAGAGGATCAAGCATTAATCTCGATATCCACCATTCTAAAGTTTTCAGCTCAGCTCGGTTATGTTATAAAAAAAAAAACAATTTTGAAACAAACCAATAAACATTTGTTGAAAGAAATGAAATGTCCCAGAAATATACCTTGTTTAAATAAGGTTAACTTGAACAATCGAATAAAATTATTAATTATTATTGTTTCTTCCTTTATTAAAATCAATTAACTGTTCAGCAATTGGCTACAACTGTATTCTGAATCTGACAACCAAAAAAGTGAACTCCAAGCTTCGAGGGATTACTGAAGCTCTTTATATTCTTACAAAATGCAACCAATAATAATAGTAATAATAAGGTTTGAGTTTATATTTACCAACCTTGTACCTGGGAATGCTCGCCTATTCACATCATTGATCGGAGTTTACAGGTATTTAGGGTGTCAAAAAAAATGAAGAATCTGTACAAGGTGTCCCAAAAAATGTAGAATCTATATAGGGCTTCCCTTTAAACGTATAGCAGGTTGTCCCAACTATCTAAGTGTATCTAAGTGTATCTCAATAGTTCCTTTTTTATGATATATTCAAAACATGCATCAGCTGTAGGGTAGGTAGTACTTCAAATACGCATGATAAGAGTCGGAGTCGTATATGTCAATACATTGAAAACCACTCTCTATTTCAATTTATATTTCAACCAAGCTTTGAAACAGCAGAACCAGTTAAACATTTCAAAATATTTCATCAAAGAGAATATGCCAATTAACAGCTTCAATTTGTTTATTTGTAAACTTGTAATTTGATAAATAAAGGGATCAAAGCATTATTAATAAAAAGTCGTCTTCATTGCATTGATATAGTCGCCGACCTTTGTATAAAAAAGTTTTCCTTGCTTAAATATTTGTAATGAAATCCAAATTGGCAAATCTTTATTATCGCCCAAAATATAGAAGCTGTAAAGTCATATTCAAAAAAGCTGCATGATGATTCATACAATCTATATTTCATGCAAAGTCATTCTTCCTCTATAAATGGATTAAAATGGTGACAATAAATGCCCATGTCAAAATAGGATTTTTATCATGCAATATTTGCGTTAAAAACTTGAATAATAATTGTTCTCTTTCAGGGCATTTAACTCCAGTAAGATGTATAGAGAGCTAAAACTTAGGAATATAAAAACAATTCTTTAAATATCAAAATTGTAAAAAAGTAGTAATTTTATTTTGGTTTCGATGGTCAGTATAAAAAAGATTTGTTATCATTTCTTTTTAATTGACTAAGATGTAACAAGGGTTGTTAATCGTTTTTGAAAACGATCATTAAATGATTGTTTTTTGTTTCGTTTTTCAATCGTTTACAAAAACGATCGCTTCGTTTTCGGAAAAAACGATCGTTTCTAAAAACGACCATTTTTAAAAACCGAAGTTTTTAAAATAAGATCGTTTCGTTTTCGATTTTTCGTCGTCGTTTTCATTACAAAACGATCGTTTTTAAAAAAAATGTAAACTTTAACATCCCTGTAATGTTCATATTTAGATTTTTTGTAAAATAATAATTAGCAAAGTTTTGATTGATAAAAATCCCAGAGGAGCCATTCTTGAGGACTCAGCTCTTAAACTTCTTCCTTTAGAAGAGATAGTCTCAACTATAAATGGAGTTTGGAATCTTTCCAGGTTTCACTTTGTGCTGGGCATCTTATTTCAGGGGACATTAGTTCAAAATCTGCTAAGTTATCTTTCTCAGGAGTATATATACAATATATCTTTCAATTCAAGTCAAGTTGAAAAATACTACAGCATAAATCTATTCAAAATTGAGAAATGATCAAAAAATATAAACTTAACTTAATCAAGGTGTGAGATTCAGTTTTTGATTTCGTTTTTAAAATCAGTGTTTGAAAAGGGGCATGAAAACAGTTTGGAACTAATGTCCCCTGTATTTGATCCATTTTATTACATTTAAGGTTCTTACTTTTTGGTTTATAGCCTAAACCATACAGCAGAAATAACTTTCTTATTATTCATATCGTATATCTGTTTTAGAGATAATCCCATGATATTATTTAACAAACTAATTAGTAACTCTAAAATCAATATTTTAAATTATTATGTATTAAACAGGGTTACCCACAAAGGATGATACATAGATGACGACTCTAAGAAATTATTACTGTCTGTTTCCTTATATTCATGTTCTCCTGCAACTTCAAACTTGTTTCTTTCTTTTCTAAATTATTAAATAAGCCATAAAATGACTATATACAATCTTGCAATCGTCATATTTCAAGAGTTTCAGGTCGTCTTTACAATCTCATCCTTTGCAGAGTCATCATCATCATTGGAGTACTATTGGAGACCCCCATATATTCGTTTGAGACCCCATTATTTTCGTTTGAGACCCCCAGATTCTCGTAGGAGACCCCTAGATTCTCGTAGGAAACCCCAATATTCTCGTAAGAGACCCCCATATTTTCGCTGGAGACCCCCATATTTTCGTTTGAGACCCCATTATTTTCGTTTGAGACCCCCAGATTCTCGTAGGAAACCCCAATATTCTCGTAAGAGACCCCCATATGTTCGTTGGAGACCCCCATATTTTCGCTGGAGACCCCCATATTTTCGTCCATGGGGGTCTCTAATAGTGCTCCAATGATGATGATTTCTTTCCAGTCTCATTCCTATGTATTTGTTAAGTGACCAGGGAAACCTAGGGACGATGATTGTAACGAATGTTCGAATTGTCTGGTTTGCGAACTTGAACGATCTTTTCAACATCTCTATTCCATACATTCAGATTGCTTCGGTAGGATATTCAAAAGAAATAATCTAAATAAATAAATAATCTCTGATAAATTACGCCGACCATCACATTTTTTGTTTTAAAACGTAATATTGTAATATTGTGAAATAAACATGAAGTGAAAATTAAACAAGATAATCTTTTTTTTTATAAAGAAAACCTATTTTTCCCCTTTTTACTACAAATATAAATATTTTGACGTTCTACATAACTAATATAATTTTATACGTCTATGTACAATGTACATATGTAGATATCTAACTATCATAGATGAAAAATATAAATAAAACCCAATCTAACCAAGGTTCGTCAGAGAGAATCCAAGTTTGGAACTGCTCTAGTCATTGAAAGCTCGGAGTTAAGTGGAGGCTATATTTTAGGATTTAGGTTAGAAATTCTAGAATTTTTAATTTTTTTCTTTGATAAAAATACGTTATCTCTTACATTCTTGATCAGATTAAGGTTTCAAGTGTAATGTTATAAATCGGGCCATTTGTCATCTTTGCATGAAGGGTCATTGTAAATTAAGATGACAGTCCCTTTAAATTGATATTATTTAATATTTATGTATTATCTATTTTCTTTAGTTTTTGGCTGTTTATATTGTAGGATTGACCCTGGGGAGAAGTTAGTTAGTATTCAGAAGGAAATATCTTCTCTTCTAGTTTTGTACTCAGCAACTCCAATATTCGGAGTTGAATATGTTTCCCAGGTAATTGTTCTAAACTTGTTAACAGTGGTATATATTTTCTTTAAATATCCCCCCCCCCCCCCAACTCCGTTTAAATTAATTTTCTTCCGCCAGAGATTAGATGTGCGTGGAGCGGCAGGCTTTATTTTAAGTCTATTATTTTATCTAAATGGATGAAAAAATCCGCCTTTGAAACATGTCCAATTCCCATTTTTTCACCCAAATTATCAAAAATTATTTAATTGAAATTCTTTAAATCAAATACAACACTGTCCGAATTTGATTAATTTAAGCTGTTAAGTGTTACTTTTTAAACGTAGTTTCCTTTTAATTTTGTATTTTCCAGGGGGGGGGGGCAAGAGGACCACTGCCCCCCTGAATACGCCACTTTTTAGATAGTAGAAAAATGTTGTCTTATGCACAATCTATCTTTTATCTTTCATTGTTCATTTTATCATTTATCATTTAATTTTACTCAACATAGAAAAATATTTGTTCATCAGGATGAACCATTGAAGGAGGAGGACTTAATCCCAGTGGTTGACAACATGGATGAGATCAACGAAATTGATGAATATAACGAGGAAACTAACGATGCATTTGCTGCGTATCTTGCTGAAGGATCTCAGAAGGATCGTGAAGTTGTTTTCTCTAGAGAGCTAGGCCTAGGTAAGAGTTTAGAATTTATGAAAAATGATGAAAAAAATATAAAGGTTGTCAGATACACTTTAAAAATTGACTTTGATAGGATGGTAGGCGATTATATCAACATTATAAAGACGATTTTTTTTATTTAAGTTTTACTTGTTAACAAGCTTTTTAGTTCAAAAGTAAATAAAGAGAAGCTTTTTAAATTGACTGCTTCTCTTTGTTTTCATGTTTTTGTGTATCCATGCTGTTTAAAAGCTTGATATGAATCAAAATTGAAATCAAAAGTCGTCTTCATTATATTAATATAGTCCCCTACCACCGTATTTAAAATAATTTGCGACATTGATTAGAAAGCCTGCTTATAGGGAATTAATAAACAAAAGTATCCCTATAGTTCTGACCGCGTCAACCTTTTTGCACTGGCTAGTCCTATCCACAGAGCTAGGTACAGTACAAACTGGGAACGGAAAGGTTGACCCGGCTCGGAAATTTAAATGTACTACGGCTGCCCGTGAAATAAACGGTCTTCCTTTTTCCTACTTTCAAAACTACGGGCGATGCTAGAACTTGCTCAAATTTAAACAATTTTGGAAATACTCTCTATATACAATTATTTTTAAATAACAAAAAAATACAGTCAACATTTTGAAATGAATGCCAGGAGTAGGAGGGGTGTGTTGCTTGTGATAATTGTTTTAATAATTGTACACCCTGTTTAATCTATTTAGCTATAGAGAAGTTGAAGGATGGGTTTACCCTGGAAAGCTTGTGGTCTGTGTTACCCCCAGAACCGAACAAGAAGCATCTGCTAGACTAAAAATGACCGTTCAGCGTTTAATGTTATAGAAATACATCGTTTTCATCATTGCACACAACATAATACATGAACAAAATAGATTTGATTACCTCGAGATTATAGTTATATGAACAAATAAAGAGAAAGCTAGTAAATTATATCTTCATGTTTGTGTGTAACATGTAATATGTACAAAACATAGTGTGCACTGTTCGCACTGTAAAGAAATTGAGTCTTTGCCACAAATTCAGTTTTTGTAAAACCTATATCATTGCAACCTTATGATGTAAACCTTTGATATTTCAAACTTATATTATTTGATCTAATAGCATTTATAGTTTAAAATATTAAAGGTCTACGACAATGGGTTGCAACGATATTGAAATTAGAAAATCAGAGTTTGTGGCAAAAAGCTCAATTCCTTTCCCTTCTGAAAATGCTAAATGTTCAAACTGAAAATAATTAAGGTCAAAATTTGAATTATTTCCATTTAACCATTTGACTAAAAGTTTATTGACAATATTTTAATATTCAAATTATGGAATGAAAAGACTTTAACACTTTATAAAGAATTTGGCCCAAACCCGACACACAGATCGAGTCAGGTCTGGCCCAAATCTCTGTCTGGAACCTACCTCCCCTGAATTTATACATATTCACAGTTCTTACATTTGAAACACATCAATTTTAAAACGGATATTCTCATAATTAATTTATATTTAATTCTCCAGAAAATCCTTGTTATCCATCATTATTCATGTCACTGCAAGGTCGTCAGTATAAGCATTGTTTGCTACAGGGTGTCCCAAAAAACATGGGAATTCAGTGACGAATTCGATATCGTCTTTGTTATGAATTAGCATTGTAATACCTAATTTCAACAGCCATAATTTTATTATGTCTGCTAGAATTTATTTTATGAAAAGGGTAAAAGACTGCAAAGATGTGTCTATAATGTCTTTGCAAGAAGAACAGTGAAGACGGACAGGTTTACTCTGTTTGTATACTGCAGTTTTCTTGTTTTACTAAGTACAATCGTATGCAGTCAAAACATAAACAAACAAAATGTGAACATAGCAGACGAAACTCTTACAGATTACAGCTTTCTCAGTAGGTATCACTATACTAAATCAAAGAATTTTTTGAAAAGACGATATCGAATTCGTCACTGAATTCCCATATTTATTGGGACACCCTGTATGATATGATTTCCCCATGGTAGTACATTCTTTCATTCAATTTTTTTTTCAGTCAGTCTAAGATTAATTCAATCAGAAACCATCAAAGAGTTTTTTTTCTAAAGGAGCCAATACAATGGGAGCTTAGCAATCTCGGTGCAGTGAGTAAGTGATAAAAAATTTAAATTTTAAAGTTTAAATCTCCGAGAGAGTTTGAAATTGAGGGTAGTGACTGGTGGGGCAATGAGTGGAAAATTTAAATTTTCAAAGTTTGAACCTGAGTGATAGTGAGGCGTTAGTTTTCATTTGTCCTGGAGTTAAAAAAATTTAATTTTCCCTCACTACACTGCCGGGCCCCAATACCCTCAGTTTACATATCTCCTGGAGTTTTCAAACTTTTATTCTCACTAAAAGAAGATGGTCCATTTGGCTTACTGTCCTGTTTTGTCCTTTGTGGCCTGTAAGTAAACTGTACAAATTGGTTTCAGTATTGTCCCTTGCTATAAGGACAATTTCAAGTGAGGGTTTTGCAAGTTGCAGTTGTGACATATCTTCTCAAAACATGGGAAGAAAAATCAAAATGTGCTCTGGCTGAAATATTTGGGTAAACACATGAAATAATTGGATATATAATTATTGAACAAATTCAAGTGGATTACTGGATTCTTCAATTAGATAAATAAAAGTGTTTCTCTTAAAATCACATAACATTAATAAAAATACTGTATTTAATCCTATATTATGGAGTACATTTAAAGCAGGCAATCACAATCTTTAAAGCATTGGGCCGGGGTGCAGTTGTTTTAATTTTCTCTTAAGCTATAGTAATCGTAGTTGTACGTTATACATATACACTGTACAGTGATATTCTAAATAACCCACTGAGCCCAAAACTTAAGACAGGGTATTGTTACGAAAACCAGTTTTAAAACCCGGGTTTCACGAATGGGGTTATACAGCTTTGTGCACATCAATATTTTTATAATGAAATACTATTTTTTTTCAGTTTGTTTATATTCTCCATTTTTTCGAATCTCTAATATCAAAATACACACGAATGTTAAGACCTCACAAGGAAACGCGGGAGTTAAATTTTGGGCTCTGAATAACAAAAATTGAATGAGAACTACCAAGTCTTCTATGACATTAGAATAAGCTTGCCGCATTCATTATAGGCAACCTGATTTTAGCAATATTTTTAATAAAAAAAAAATTAAAATATAGCCCTTATCCTGCCATTTCAAAATGTGGTCTTCAATTTTTTTGCTCTCAAAATAACAAAGATATTATGAATATTTTTTAAAGTTTCAATTAATTAAATAATATCATGAACAAAGATAATTCATATATCTGGTAATTATGAAAGCATATAATTGGCGGAACATATTTTAGGAATGGCAGGACTAGACCTATTTAGAGATTAGGAATAGCAGGACTATAGACCTATTTAGAGATTAGGAATAGCAGGACTAGACCTATTTAGAGATTAGGAATAGCAGGACTAGACCTATTTAGAGATTAGGAATAGCAGGACTAGACCTATTTAGAGATTAGGAATGGCAGGACTAGACCTATTTAGAGATTAGGAATAGCAGGACTAGACCTATTTAGAGATTAGGAATAGCAGGACTATAGACCTATTTAGAGATTAGGAATAGCAGGACTAGACCTATTTAGAGATTAGGAATGGCAGGACTAGACCTATTTAGAGATTATTGTTTCATAAAAAAATATTGCTAAAATCAGGTTTAACCAATGTTTAATGCCTCAAACTATTTATCAAAGTCGATTTAGAAGTCATCAAATTTACAGTATACCGGGTTATTTAGAATATCACTGTATGAAAATGAACAATTTATAAAATAAATAATTCACAGCGTAGGTAGTTTAAATGATAGTCGTCCAAGTCTAAAACTACTCATTGTCTAAAGGTTCTTGGATTTCTGATCTACTTGACCTGAACTGGAAAGCATGCGACATTTATATGAAGTGTATGAAGTGAGGGGCTAAGGGTAAACAGAAGCAAAATAAAGCTTTAGTATTTAGAGCTAGTATACATAAGATTTCCACAAAATTTCTTTTATCAATTTTAAAATGTTAAATTTCATTTTCCCCAAAACTTTGAAGCCATTTTTCTCAAAAATAAGAAAAACTTTGTCAGATTATAAATGGAATGACCGGTAATGTATGGTAGTTGGACTGAGAATGTAGTATATATTGTAACATATTTTTGGATTAATTTGAGACATATATAACCTTGTAATGATGTATAATTACTGAGTTTGAGCGCAAAGTCGACGTTTAACGTTTTAAACTATTAAATAGTGGTGACAAAAAATGTTGAAAAAATTCAATAGTAAACTAATTAGAAGTTTAGGCACATATTTCTCAACTGAAATTTTCTCAATAAATCAATGTTAGAATCAATTATTTTTCTCATCATTATATCGACTTTCTTATTCTTTATGAATTTGTTCGCAGACTTCTTCAAATTCTTCAAATGTCGTATTTTCAAAAATAATTCCAGGAAATCTACAGAAAATTTTTGTGAACAATGAGACAGAAACCAATTACTGAATAAGATTACTTATTTTCGATGATAATAGTTAATTTTTATTTTCTCGCAACATGTTCCTTAACAACTAATTAGTTTACTGTAGAATTTGTACTACATATTTTGTTGTAGTTATTGAATAATTAAAAAAAAAACAATTCTCAAAATAATCCCTCAAAAATGAACAATCTTTAAGGATTGAAATTGCGCTCTTGCTGAACGTCTAATAGGTCTCAAATGATTCCCTAAAAAACTTTTCCACAATACTACATTCTCAGTTCAAGTACCATACATTGCCGGTCACTTCATTTAAGAATATTTTGGAAATTGAAGTCTAAACAAAATATTTTTAATCTCCAATTATTTTTAAATCACAAAGATATGCAGTAAACATTTGGAAATGCCAGGAGTAGGGGTATGTTGCATTTGAGTAATGTTTAAATAATTCAAAAGAAATTTGTTCAACACTAAAATTTTACAAATTATTCAAGAAATCATTTGAAAATTGATGATTAACATTTTCCATAATTGAATTTTGAGATTTTAAAAATATTGTCATGAATTATTTAATTAAGAACAAAATTATCAATATGATAATTTAGCTGGCAAGATTCTATGCAATTAGATACAGGACACCCTTTAGAGAAAAAAAGCATAAATCTAAGGGGGTAGAATACTAATGGGAATTGCTGTGATTGCATTTGCAAAAGTATGACTAGCTTGAAAAAAGAGCCCAGTATCATTCCAAGTTTTGGTCTCAATATCCAGCTTCTCAACCTTAACATATATATTCCTGATAATTAACTAAAAATAATAAAAGTGATAGAGGTAAAAATTAAATCATTTCTTTCTTGAAAAAGAATATTTTAGGAATTTTAACTAAAGTTTAAAAAGGTTGATGTTATATAACGGTTTAAGTTGTTAAAACTTGTCAAATGAGTGTAGTAAATGTAATTTTGTCCAAACAAACCTTTTCCTTGTTATTTAATTTATTTCCAATAGCATATACTCCGTCTGAGGTGGTCACAACGGCATGAGAATTTCTAAGAATACAAATTTGTAAATTCAAATATAAAGGAACTGAGTTTTGGCGCCAATTCTGATTTTCAAATCACTATGTCTTTGCAACCTGATGGTGTTAGCCTTTGATATTTGGAACTGTCATTATTTGATCTAAAATAATTCACAGTTTGAAATATCTAAGGTTTCTGACATTGAGATGCAAAGATATAGGGAAAAGAGAATCAGAGTTTGTGACAGAAACTCAATTCCTTTGGATAAGAGGAAATAACAAGACGTGTAAGTCTGACTACAACAAAGTGATATTTCTATTTTGATAAAATGTTTTTTCAAAATTATCAATCAATTATGAAGCAATTGATAGATAAGATCAGCTTTACCTTTCATAGTTTAACTCCCCTATTACTGTCCAAGTTCCAACAGAAGGCTTGAATATCTCGGTGGACCCTTTAAATGATATATAATTAACAAAAAGCATGTATGTATTTAGGGGTTAGAAGAAAAAAGTGCTTCTTTTTCAAAACAGAACACCTTGTTGTCTTCCACCAATGTTAAGTAAATAAAGAGCTAAAGGGTATTGTTGTGCAAATCAAGCATCACTTAAAAGTAGAGGTAACTACTTGAAATTATTCTTCAAAACTAATAAAAATAAGCTATCCCTTTAACTAATAACAAGACTAAAATTTATTCTTTCCGGTAAACAAATCAGAGCATTAAGACATCAGTTAAAGAACACACAAAGTTTAGCTTCAGATTTAAAAGGGAACTGATTTTCCGTATTAATGACACTTTCAGAAGATGGTCGTACTTTTTGAACCAGCAGAGTTGCCTCCTGCAACTATGAAGACCTCCTCTCCGTCCACATCCTGCAAGAAGTTGTTATTGAAATCCAGGGCATTTATCTTTGTTCGGAATTCTCATCCAAGTTTTGAACTAGTCATGAACTTTAGTTCAAAGTTTATGACTAGTTCAGAGCTTGTATTTAAGAGCTGAGTTTTTATGAGTTAGGTTTAGAGTTAGATAAAGAGTTCATGTTCCTGGGCAATAATGCTTGTCCCAATAAATTAATAAATAAATATATGGACAGTGAACATGTAATACATGTATATTGTGTGTATGTATTTGAATATTGAGGTAGTAAAACAATGGTGTATAAAACTGATATAAAATAAAAAATCCACCGTTTCTCGAATTTGAAAGTCATCTTTTTCTCAACTTGAAAAAACTTAACCAAAAGTGGTACACAATTTCAGCTTAAAGGGAGTGTTCGCGAAAAATGAAAGGAGGTATAGGCTTAATGCGATAAAAAAGCGCTTTTGATCGCTACTAATCTTACTTCTATCTGTTGCGTCTATAAAAGGAGAAAGTTGTTAAAGACGTCTCATACCGAATAACTTAGCGCCCCTACAAATTCAGAAAATTGCAACATACTACTTTGACCGTAAAAAATCAATTTAATTTCAAACAAATCATTCAGATATTACAACCTATAGTCATCGATTATCTTTCGCCACATTTGTATTTAGTTTATATTTTATAATATTTTTTAATTAGATTATTTCTCTTGTCGCTTGCGCAACTATCTAAGAATGCCGCGCCCCACTCACATTTTTCGAAATCCGTTAAAACGTTTTCTAAAAAATAAAATATTATTAAATATAAACTGTATACAAATGTGCCGAAAGATAATCGATGACTATAAGTTGTAATATCTGAATGATTTGTTTAAAATTAAATTGACTTTTTACGGTCAAAGTAGTATGTTGCTATGGTCTAAGTCGTATGTTGCAATTTTCTGAATTTGTTTGGGCGCTTTAAGTTATTCGGTATGAGACGTCTTTAACAATTTTCTCCTTATAGACGCAACAGATAGAAGTAAGATTAGTAGCGATCAAAAGCGCTTTTTTATCGCATTAAGCCTATACCCCCTTTCATTTTTCGCGAACACTCCCTTTAAATGCAAGTTTTGGAATGACTAATTACGAGTTTAAGTCGACTTTATATTGCAATACAAATACATCTAAAGGTTATTACGTACCAAAAAAGAACTACAGCCAAATTTTTGGCGAGGGATATTCAGTTTTGGAAGATCTTTGCCAATTCCTAAAAAATAAGAAGCAAAAAAAAATGGCGCGCCTCCTGAGTCCTCCTTGTAATTTCAGAAAGAAGAGTTTTCAGAGTAAAAAATTCATTGACATTTTTTCACATAATTTATTACAAAAAAGACAAAAAAAACACATTTACCTCAAAGCAAGCCATGCGAGATATTTTTTAATCTTTTTTATTTTCTATTTTTTACCTGAGATAATATCATATTCAGTTACAATATCCTTTCCAATCACAATGAATGATCTATCCGAGAACCTTAATAAGTAATACAAAATCTTTGTGTGTGATCAAAACTAAAAAAAATCTTAAAAATTATCGACAAATAACATTTAAATATCATCATTTAATAAAACCAAATCATTAATTAAACTTAATTAAGAAAGAAGACTAAATCTAAATTCAACTTATTGAATTTAAAGAGTCCCAGATTGTCATTAAATTTTTATTGTTTGTGGGTACACCTGTAATTGAATGTGTACCTGATTGCACAACTGAAGTCATTCCATTCTGGGGTTGCCATGCCTACTTTGCTCACCAAATCTGTTTAAAGGGAGAGACCGGGAATGTATGGTATTTGAACTGAGAATGTAGTATTGTGGAGACATTTTTTAGGATTCATTTTAGACACATAATTTCATATAATTACTGAGTTTGAGCGCAAAGTCAACGTTTTCAGAATCGATTTTTAAAAATGATAAAATAAAGACGTCAAAAAATGTAAAAAGTTCTACAGTAAACTAATAAGATGTTTAGGAACATAGTTCACAATTGAAATTTTCTCAATAAATCAATTTTTTCTTTTTCATCATTATATTGAATTTCTTAATCTTTATGAAACCAATAAATGAATAAGATTAATCATTTTCGGTGATAAAAGTGGATTTTTATTTTCTCAACCTTAACAACTAATTAATTTACTGTAGAATTTATACTACATTTTTCATCGTCGTCATTGAATAATTTTTTTTTAAAACCGGTTCTCAGAATCTTCCCTAATTAATTTAAATTGTTTAGATTTCTCGTTTTCTTTATTTTAAAGAGATAAAGAAAACGAGAAATCAATCAAACCCATAGTAAAATATCTTTTTCTGTTTTTAAAAAAGTTCTTTCTGTTAAAAAATATACGCGTTTATATTTACAATATTATATGTCAAAATCATAACATGTTTTTTTACGAAATAAATATTTTGTGTTATAAAAAAAAAAAAAAAAATTAAAAATTGAATTTGCGCTCTTGCTGAAAACATGTGCACCGTAAAAACATTTCATATGGTCTCAAATGATTCCTAAAATTTTTCTTCCCAATACTACATTCTCAGTTTAACTACCATACATTGCCGGTCACTCACTTTTATTAAATTTAAAACATGTAAAACCTTCCCTAGATAGCTGGAATAGTTTTTTCTAATCACTAACCTCCTTCCAGCAGATATTCAGCCGTGCGTCTGGAACCTATATCGGATCCACCTATAGATTATGAACTGTTTACAATCAAACAAATGATGTTTGCATTAATTTAGCTCTTTAAAATGATAATATAAAATTTTTACAGTTGCCCAAGTGCATAAAGAATATTGTTGGTTTAGTCTTAAATAAAGAAATTTATAAGTTGCAATTCTGTACAATAGGGAATCTAGGTGGGATGAAAATTGATGAAAAAATATTCTTTTACTTTCCATTCCTTTCTTTGAGGAACCCCACCGCCCGCCCCCCCCCCTTTATAAGCTTAGAAATGAAATTTCAAATGAGGCAATGCAAGTACAGTTTATATGGGTTAGTCGTTAACAAGCAAGAAGTTCTCAAATACAGAGTTAGGTATGACATGCAGAAGAACCATCTTACTGTGAAAATAACAGTGAAAATCAATATGTTAAAGTGTAGGAATGTGGGTTGGGAAACAGTTTACTTCGGTGGAAAGATTAGAATTTTCATGAACAGGATGGACACTTGGAACGGCTCAGTTACATTTGCCATAAATACATTGGGTCTGTAATTAATTGATTGATTGATTCTTGAGAAGTAATACCAAGAAATATTTAGATTAGGAAGAAGGAAAGAGATTTAAATCAAATTGGTTCAAGAACTTTTATGCAATAAAAAACCATCCTCATTATATTCAATACTTAACGAGACTGCACAATTAAATTAAAGTAACCCTTAATATATAAATAAAGGCATGTCGGGTTCACAACAATACCTTTAAACGGTTTGCTGGGGAACACACATTTATGATGTACACCGATTGAAAGTAAATAAAACCTTATAATATAAAATCCGAGAAAAAAATGAAAATCATTTACATTTTAAAACATATATTCAAAGACGTTTCATACATATATTTTCTAAGAATCCTATCTACATGCTGTAACATTTTTTAACACAGTTATAAAAAATAAGCTTCAGCTTCTTGTTTAAATGTTTTTATATTCTTTCTACTGTTTTCATTAAATGTTACATTGTGTTTTTTAATCTGCTTAAAAATCTATCATTCCCTTCACAACAATGCAGTTATATTTAAAATTGTCTTTTCAGGTTCCTATGACTTGTCCCTTTATCTAAGGTCTCTCTGTGTATTTTGGAAAGTTTTCGCTTCCTCCAATGAGTATATCTGTATATCTGTATATCTGTATATACAGAGCGCCCCATATCATATTAGATTATCTCCAAGCTTTAACGACAACATAATTACGCAAAATTGTCACACAAAAAAACCAAGCATTTTCTGCAAGATAATTTTTATATTAGTCTGATTTAACTTTTCCAAATGATTTATTCTTCTTAAATTTTCTGATTAGTCAGGAGAATCAAATTTGAGACCCATTAAAGATCTAATATGATGTGGGACACCCTGTAGTTTCTTGATCTAGATAATCAATTTGTATCCGCACTAGCTTGATATATTAACTAGGTGTTTTGTTGGATTGTGACATCACATGTTTATCAGAGTTTGATTCTTCAACGACTGTGGGGGCACTGGGTTTGTTATCATTCATTTCTCCCAGAGTATAAGATCACAATATGCGTACATCAAGGGAGGGAACCCCCGGACGCCATGAGCCTCCGCTATGCAGACACGAGCCTCCGCTATGCAGACACGAGCCTCCCAGATTTGCTAGGCATACCGTGCCTCCACTATGCAGACCAAGCATCTGCTATGCCTCTGCTATACAGTAAACGAAACTCCATCATACAGCACAGCTTTTTTAATCTTGATTTTCTGTGTGATAAAAAATTTACCAATTTTTTTTTGACATAGAGTGGCATAAGGATTTTATTTAAGATTAGAGATATTTATTGATTGTCATGATTAGAAACATAAATGGATAAAGGGTTTTATAAGATTTATACTAAAACTTTAAACATTTCTTATTCAGACAGGAAAATATTTGGAGAAATATTTCTGGAGTAAAAATTATACAAATTTTCTAGATTTAATTTAAACTACAAAAAAAAGGTATCTCTTAAACCAAAAGATTTTAAAAGATGAGATGAAATGAAATTCAAATTTTTATAGTGCCTTTAAAGGCCCCCCCCCCTATCAGAAAGGTGACAGGCATGATACTTTTTACTCAGCTATCAATATCATTTTCTCTCTGACATCAAATAATTAATTTACCGATCATATAGTATCTGTCTTGTACTATAACAGAGGTGCTTTCTTGTCTTCTTTCCTGTAACGTAACCTTAATAAAATCTTTATAGGCAACTAAATCTGAAATCCTCTTAAAAGTAAGAAAGAAGAGATGGAACTTTGAATAGATAAAAGTTGCGTATTGATTCGTTATCTACCCCAATTATTTGCTTTCTTATTCTTGCTTTAAGAATCTTTACATGTTTTGGTTTGGCGTTCGAAACTTTATAAAAAACAAAGTATTTTGAATTACTTCTTACTTTCCCAACCTGGACAGGAATCAGAATACCTTGTGACCAAAAAGAAAGTTTACAAAGAATCCTTTAATCTACTTTTTACATATAAATCTATGTAAACTATTTGAAGTATAGTGCACGGATACAACTTTTTACCTCTGACTTTTGTCCTCCTATAAAGTGAATCATTCAATTTCTTTTAAATAAATAGATATTTTAAATTCCTTGCTAATCAAAGATCAAGGATTGACAAAAATAGATAAAAAAGAAATAAAGAAATGTTCTTTGTTTTCACTTCATCAGAAGTATAGCAATAAATAATTTGGACACCAATTAAGTCATTCTGAAGGATGGTAATTATAACACTCATAGGACACTAATTAGTCCAATGGAAGAAAATAAAAAAATCCTTAATATTTTTGTAATATTCAAAATTAGTAATTTGAATTTGAATTTAATTTGAAAGAAATTTTTATTAGAGTCAATCAATTTTGGCTTTAATTTGATGTGTAAGACTCAGAGAAAATTTATCTTTAGTGTTAGAAAAAATGTTAAAGATTTTGTTGTTACTTCTTTTTGTTTTATGTTTAAAATACCTTGGGAACTCTGCTGTAACTAGAAATTTAATTTTTCCAAATCAGACATAGAAGCATAAAATTAAAACTAACAGACGGAAATACTACTGAATTATATTCATATAGATATAGGGCCTGATAAATTCAAATAGGCTTTTAGTGCAAAGCTATAACCCACATTGAAATCATCCTTTTTGACATATTTTCACTTGATACAATTTAAATATGCTTGGACAATATTAAACTCTCGAGACAAAAGTCGGCAAACGTCAAACTATCGAATTTTTTACAAAAATATAATTGATTTTAAATCCCGGGTTTCCAATCGGAATTCCGTTGCACGTAATTGTGCACTGAATTGTGTGAAGTTTAAAGGGCTCGCAATTGCACGCAAGTAAAATCCAAATGCCTTGTAAGTTTAATCCCCTGATGTAATAATTAGTGTCCTAAGTGTTAATTAATATCTTTCTAATAAAGTAATTAGTATCCTTCATGTTAATGTCGTCCCTCAGATGCAGATATATTTAAAATGTCATTGTTCAGAGACCTAAATTTTCTACTGCAAACTTCAGTCTCTCTGAAAAGCTACCAGTTACAATTCTACAATTGGCAATTAAATTAAAACCTAAGATTTTCTCTTTTCTTCTCAACGCCCTACTAATTTTAGCAGATTTAAACACCCTACTAATCATGTAAGCAGATTTAAACACCCTACTGATTTTAGCAGATCTAAAGCAGGCGTGCAACTAGGGGGGGAGGCCAGGGGGGCCAGGCCCCCCCTAGCCTGATTAAGGGG